GTTTTGAACTTCCCTGAGGACACAATAGGTGGCACACCTTCCAAAGGTGCAGCTTCTGCAAATGTGACCAAGACATTGAACTAGCTGAGTGTTGCAAAGAAGCTTCTTTGAATAGTTACTTGAATTTTAAAATAAACCTGGTGCTTGTACCTCTGGGTGTAATAGGTAAATGTTTAAGCACCTGAGTTTCTCAGCTCACATGATCAAGTGCTTTCAGATACCAGATTTTAAATTTTTATGCATGGTCCTAAGATTTCAATGGAGTCAATATATCTGTATTTAAAATAGAGGTCAATTGAGAACTCACCAGCAGGGCTATCTATTTTACATGGCATGGAATGCTGCTTGATTATGGAGGAACAGGATTCCCCAAAGCCCTTGCCAGAGCCCTAAGAGAGGAGCAGTTAAACAAGCCAGACAAGGTCTGACCACACCCTTTGCAAATTGGACTGTAAACACAGACAAATCTTTCTTATGAATATGATAAGAGAATTTAAAGGTAATCTCTGCACCCAGCCCAAAGGAGCCATTGCTCATGACCCTTACTCACCATGAGTAGTTCTTTCCTACACAGTCAGCACTATTTAATCAAGGGGATTTACTTGAAACGTAAGGTATTACTCATTGTGAGAATGACACAGTGTGGTACAGTACTTTACAGCAGCCTAATATTCTAAGAGTAATACCCCAGGCACATTGTAACTTCTTTACAACATCTCTCTAAGCTGTTCGCTTTCCCTGAGAGATTCAAAGCCATAGGGGTTTAGTAGTAAATATTTATATTATAACTAGCAGATTTACCTAGCATTGTTCAGGTCCCTAACTCAAGTAATTTTTTTAAATAAAAGGAAAATGTACATGATTTATTGAAATGGTTGTATTTTTCAAAAATACAATGTTATTTTTATGAAGTTAATTTTAGTACATTTTTTAAAATGAGAATTCCATCAAGTGTATTTTCCATCAAGTGTATTTTCTATAAACTCTTATAATTCACTGTTTTAGCCAAAAAGGGCTATAGTCAATTGGTTTTCAATAACATTATTTTCTAGTTTTCAAACCCCAACCCTTGATTTAACTGTGCCAAAGCAGAACACTACTCCAAAATTCTCTGTTTTATCTCTTTTCTGTACAGTTTATTGAAAAGCAATCCTACTCCAGGTCCATCCTATTTTTCTGTCTTATCTTGGTTCAGTCTCTTTCAACATTCACTCAGTTCTGTTAATTATGAGGATTGTATTTGATGGGGTGAGTCTGTCTCTTTTTTGTTTGATTTTATGAGAACCAAATTCCAGGCACATGCCATTTTCCTGGCTAAACCAAAACCTTCTGTCACTTAAAGAGGAAGCTATAAACCAAATGTGTTGGTCCTAGCTCTTACAATTGGGAGATGTTCTTGTCAAACACACAGACAAAACTCTCTAAAATATATAGTAGATAGTAGTCAAACGCCACATTTGGAAATGAGACTCCTTTGTGTCTGGACAATGCCCACCACAAAACACGATTCCTGCCATGAAGAACTTAGGATATGTCTGCACTACAGCCGTTAGTTCGAATTAACTTTAATAGGAACTACACATGCAAAATTAACTTTAATAGGGGCTACACATGCAAAATTTAATTTGAAATAGTGGAGCGCTTAATTCGAACTAGGTAAACCTCATTCTACGAGGAGTAACGCCTAGTTCGAATTAAGGGCTGTGCAGCCACTTAATTCAAACTAATTGGAGGCTAGCCCTTCCCAGGTTGCCCTGGTTGCCACTCTGGGCCAAACCAGGAAAACTCTTCTGCCCCCTTCCCGGCCCCGGAGCCCTAAAAGGGGCACAGTCTGTCCACGGTGCCCGTGCCAGTTCCAAGCTTGCCAGCATCCAGCCAGCAGACCCTGCACCTGACACGGGATGAGCCAGCCACTTGCTGCCACCCAGCCCTCTGCCTCTTCCCAGGACCAGGCTGGTGGCTCCCAGGAGCCTGTCCAGGGCCACAAAAGGCGGGTGCCTGCCTGGTCTAGTGCGGAGATCGTGGACCTCATCGAGCTTTGGAGGGAGGCCTCCAACGTCCACGATCTGCGCACTAGGCACAGGAACGCGGCTGTCTACAGCTGCATGGCTGCCAGCCTGGCCACCAGAGGCCACATGCGGACCCCGGAGCAGGGCTGCTGGGCCTGCCAGCCAGGGGCCGACCCGGAGGCCTGCCCCCACTTTCAGGCCCTGGACCGCATCCTGGGGGCTCACACCATCCATGCCCCCTGAGTGGTCATCAACCCCGGGGTAGAGGGACCCGTCCCGGACACCGAGGAGGAGGAGCCAGAGGACGCCGAGAGCCAGGAGCCTCCCGGGAGCCTGCCCAGGACCCAGGACCCCCGAGGAACCCCACAGAGCACATCACCTGTGTCATCCGAGGCCAGGGAGGGCTCCACATGTGGGTGCCATCATGCTCCCCTTATGTGTATGGGGGGGTGGGGTGGAGAGGGATCCCAGGGACTGTGCGCCTGGGCCTTGCCCACCATGGAGTAGCAGCTGGGTGTCATGCAGGGGTCCTGGCCCATTCCCCACACGCCGACCTCGTCTTGCAGAGGGGGGTTGGGTTTCACCCACTGTGACCCCAGGGAGAACTGACCGCTGCTCTTGTTTCACCACAGCTGCAGCACCTGAGACTGCAGGGTGCACCACCCCGCCTGCAAGAGCCACCTGCACCCGGGCCAGCAGACACACCCGCAACCTGGAGGACTAGCAGCAGCAGCATCTGGGGCAACTGAAGCACCAGCTCCGCACCCAGGACTGCTGGATCCGGAAGGACCTGAGGCTGTGGCAGGGGGGGCTTGG